GTGTGTGTGTGTGTGTGTGTGTGTGTGTGAGTGAGAGTGTGTGTGTGTGTGTGTGTCTCTGGCTGTCAGAGACGAGCCCCGTCTCTCCTCCATCAGACCAACATTCACATCAAACACAGACAGATTATAAACAGCCTAAATCTGAAATACTTCTATCTTCTTTAAGAAATAGTACAAGCTGGTGTATTAGGATGCATAAGAATGGGGTGTGCATTCAAATGAAAAAATACTGCAAAATGCAGTTTTGATATGCAGGTCTTAAAAATCACATTTTTCATTGCCAGTGACCTCTGACCTCATTATAACTTTAATAAACAACACTTGAGAATAGATTATGAGATATAACTTATGGGACATTCACAGAAAATACTTTAAATATTTTGGCATTTCAAACAATTTTCATGATTTCAAGAGCATATATGAAGGAAATTTAAAAAATATATATATATGTGAAAATAGAAATAGACTGCAACATATTGTAGTGCAGAAGACATGGTTTAAGAGTGCAATCAAACAAGTTATGTTGCTTTGAATATAAAATTGGTCAAAGTATAAGCATAAATATGAAGTAAGAGAACATTCACTAGGCTACCAGCAGGGTGCAGTGTAGAGATGTTATTTGTGTAGTTGTATTGTTTATCAACAGCAGAGGGCAGTGGAGACTGATAATTGTGTTTTATTATCGTGTATGAACAGTAGGTGGCAGTGTAGAGTTATTAACGCTAGAGGTCAGTGCTGTGTGTTTCTATTCTGTGTCACCAGCAGAGGGCAGTGTAGAATTATTTTGGTGAATTCATACTCAAATTGGAGATTTAAAGCTTCATTGGCATGTTTTAATGATTTACATGGCCGAAGCATTAATAAACATTTCATATCAGCGATTTTAATCAGGTTAGTACCATTCTGGTACTTTTTTCTTAGCACTTGTTTTAAATTAGGTTAATGATAATTACTACCTCCAACCAAAATCCCTGCAGTCACCTTTGGACATTTTTAGATTTTAATGAACATTTTATTAAACCGTTTTTCTCCCAAAGGATCCCACAATGTAGGTGATTTCAGCTTTTAATTCAATTTTTTTTTTTTTTTTACTGATACCATAAAGTATTAACATGTTTTGTTAACTCTCATGCTTGGAGTGAATTGATGTAAATACATGAAAATCTGTCTTCAAAAAAGTATATTTTTATTTATACTGAAGAATATCTAAAACCCAAACAACTATTGGCTAGTTAATATCACGTTTTTGGGCATGTTATACCAATGCACAGTATGAAGTACTTATATTTATACGCACTTGTATCAATAAAAGTACTATAGTATTACCTCTTGACCTTTTTTAGACGTCCCTTAATTTTTTGTAAAGGTGGGTTAGGTAAAAAAAAAAAAAAAAAAAGACTTTATTGTGTTACTTATTTTTGCAATATTGATAATGATACAGCATTTGAAGTGGATCAAAAAAGTTAATCAAAGTTGTCCTAAAACAAGAACGCATTTTGTTTTTAGATTTTAGGACAACTTTGATGAAAGGTTTTGATTCACTTCCAATGTTGACTATAGTGTACTAATAATAATAAACACCTTGTTAACTTTATTTCTGATTCAGTTTTGTTCAGATTTTGTTCATTAAAAAAATAATAATAATAAATAAAAAACTTGCCCCTAAAACAAATGTAACTTATTTTTGGAATAATAATAATAATAATGATGATGATAATAATAATAATAATAATAATAAACATTTTGTTAACTTTATTTCTGATTCAGTTTTGTTCAGTTCTAAAAAACATACAAACAAACAAGCAATGTTCTCTCCAAAGTGTGGCTAGGGTTCACACTCGAGCGCACGCACGCACACACACACACACACTCACACGTGCGCATGCGCAGTCTCCGCCTGCAGCTCGGTCCGTGGCGGCTGCTGCTGCTGCTGTTTCTGTCCGCCGCACCGAGAATCTCCGTGTTTTTCCGCTGCGTTCTCACCCGTCGCCGTTTATGCGTCCGAACCCGAGCGCCGGGCCCGTGCTGCTCGGTCCGTACTCCCGGTAAAAGGCTCTTCTGACCTCGGCTCCGGGCGTTATGCGCTCAAATGAGGCCTACATGCTGAAGCTGTCCTCCTCTTCCTCTTCCTCCTCCTCCTCCCATGCATGAATCTCACCGTGATGGCTGATGATCAACAACAACAGCCCGGTGCTCCCGGAGCGTCCCTGCAGAGCCCCGAGGCGACGGCGCTGCAGTACAACAAGATCAAGAATTCAGTTTGGTAAGAGATCCGATCTGGGTCCGATCTCAGAAACACTCCTGCACATCTCCAACACTCATCTCTGCCCTGAGAGAGAGAGAGAGAGAGAGAGAGAGAGAGACGGAGCACCTTGCGTGCATATGACGGGTTGCGCTTGGAACGGGATGTCTGATTTCACTGCATGCGATGTTTGATTGTTTACATAGGATGTCTGATGTCAAATGGACAGCAGGCCTGTATTTCAGTGCATGGGTTGTGTATGATTTTTTTTGCATGGCATATCTGGCTTCAGTGCATGTTATTATGGCTGGTTTATGATTGCATTAGATTGTCTGATTTCATTGCATGGTACATCTGATTTCAAATGCAACTGATACATGATGTCATTGCATGTGACTGTTTCAAAGTCTGTTTCTATTTCCATTGCATTTGGATGCCTCAATTTATTGCATGGATTTTCTGTTATTGCATGGGATGTCTGATTTCAAATAATATCTGGTTTCAGTGCATGGAGATGTCTGATTTCATTGCATGCCATGTTTGATTGTTTACATAGGATGTCTGATGTCAAATGGATTTTTTTTGCATGGCATATCTGGCTTCAGTGCATGTGATTATGGCTGGTTTATAATTGCATTAGAGTGTCTGATTACAATGCTTGGATCTGATGTCGGATTTTATTGCATGGATTTTCTAATGTCACTGCATGGGTGTCTGATTTCAAATAATATCTGGTTTCAATGCATGGAATTGTGTTATTTCGTTTCATGGCATATCTAGTTTTTAAGTGCATGTGATTATGTCTGGTTTATGACTGCATTAGATTTGTCAGATTTTATTGCTTGCATACGATGTCTGGTTTTATTTATGGATTTTCTGGGTTTATGTATGATTTCTAATTTCATTTGGATGTCTGATTTCATTTCTCGCATATGATGCTTGATTTTCTAGCATGGATTTTTTTTTTGTCTGCATGGGATGTAATTGCAAAGGATGTCTGATTTCATTCCATGGCATGCATATAATGTATTATTTCAATGCGTGTGATTATGTCTGATATTTAATTTAATTGCACTTGAATGTCTGATTTCAGTTGCAATGGATGCGTGATTTCATTGCATGGGGGTGATGTCTGATTTGATCTCATGGATTTTCTGATGTCATTGAACAATATGCATTTAAAATCTGACATGCCATGCAATGACATCAGAAAAGCAATGAGATCAAATCAGATATCATTTCCATGCATTAAAATCATACATCCAAATGCAATGAAATCAGACATCCCATGCACATGCAGTGACATCAGAATGTCCAATCAATTAAAACAGATGCCCTAATGCAATTAGAAATCAGACTTAATCATATAAGACCAGACATAAGATAAGCCATGCAAAGGCATCAGACATCCTACATGCAATGACATCAGAAAACCAATGAGACAAAATCAGACAACATCCCCATGCAATAAAATCAGACATCATATTCAAGCAATAGAATCATTGCAATTAAAATTAATGAGACATACTTGCATTATTTGCATTTTAAATCAGATATGCCATGCATTGACAAGTAGTATCTGATTTGAGTGCACATGATTATGTCTGATTTCTAATTGCATTTTGCGATGTCTGTTATAATTGCTTTGATTATATGATGTCTGATTTTATTGCATGGATTTCTGATGTCATTGCATGCCATATCTTTTTTTCAAATGCAAGAAATATTTGATCTCAGTTACATGAGGTGACTGTCAAAGTCTGTTTCTAATTTCATTGCATTTGGATGTCTGATTTTAGGTGCAATGGATACATGATTTCATTGCTTGAATTGTATGATTTCATTTGCACAGGGATGATGTCTAATTGCCTTGAATGAATGTTAAATTCGACGTCTGAAGTCCACTTACACCTCATTTCCTATTAAAAAATCAGACATGAAAATGATTTTAGATGATCTACATGCACTAGATGCATGTAGCTTTTTTTTATCTCCATAAAAGCTTCATTTCTCCAGAAACAACAAACCTGTTAGTTGAATAGACAAGTGGTGTAGAAACGCACCTGCCCTGGACTCGACCTTTGACACTGTCATTAAGAATTTTTAAAAAGACGGTGCTTTTTCTACGAATTCTTTTATCTTAAACAAGCGCAACCACCTCCAAGAAATGCCCTGCCTGTTATCAGGAACCTAACAGCATGTCTTTTTTTCCCCACTGTGTTCATACTTGAAGCACAACTGCTCTAATAATCAGTTTTTCTTGTTTTACAGCAAATCTGTACAATCAAAAGAGATAAGCCATGCAAAGGCATCAGACATCCTACATGCAATGACATCAGAAAACCAATGAGACAAAATCAGACAACGTCCCCATGCAATAAAATCAGACATCATATTCAAGCAATAGAATCATTGCAATTAAAATTAATCAGACATACTTGCATTATTTGCATTTTAAATCAGATATGCCATGCATTGACAAGTAGTATCTGATTTGAGTGCACATGATTATGTCTGATTTCTAATTGCATTTTGCGATGTCTGTTATAATTGCTTTGATTATATGATGTCTGATTTTATTGCATGGATTTCTGATGTCATTGCATGCCATATCTTTTTTTCAAATGCAAGAAATATTTGATCTCAGTTACATGAGGTGACTGTCAAAGTCTGTTTCTAATTTCATTGCATTTGGATGTCTGATTTTAGGTGCAATGGATACATGATTTCATTGCTTGAATTGTATGATTTCATTTGCACAGGGATGATGTCTAATTGCCTTGAATGAATGTTAAATTCGACGTCTGAAGTCCACTTACACCTCATTTCCTATTAAAAAATCAGACATGAAAATGATTTTAGATGATCTACATGCACTAGATGCATGTAGCTTTTTTTTATCTCCATAAAAGCTTCATTTCTCCAGAAACAACAAACCTGTTAGTTGAATAGACAAGTGGTGTAGAAACGCACCTGCCCTGGACTCGACCTTTGACACTGTCATTAAGAATTTTTAAAAAGACGGTGCTTTTTCTACGAATTCTTTTATCTTAAACAAGCGCAACCACCTCCAAGAAATGCCCTGCCTGTTATCAGGAACCTAACAGCATGTCTTTTTTTCCCCACTGTGTTCATACTTGAAGCACAACTGCTCTAATAATCAGTTTTTCTTGTTTTACAGCAAATCTGTACAATCAAAAGTGGAGAGTATATTGGTAAGTCTCTCATGTTATTAATTATGAGCGTTTAGGCAATGTGCTTCCAGTTTTGGTATATCCAGACAGATAATTTGGACTCTAAATTAGGGATGGGCGATATCTTATCGTTTGCGATATACTGGTAAAAATTCTCCCCACGATAACAAGTAGTCTTCCCGCGATAATAACGATAAAGCCTAGTTGTTGGCATATTTCTGTGTGCGACAGTGCGGAATAAATGTACTACAGTAGCACTTGTGTGATACAGTTCTGCATGTGTATGAGCCTGTTTACAAACCTGTTGTCCAACAAAGATATCATTTATTGACATGCTTTTTCTCCAAATTAACTTAATAACATAATGTGAAATAAATTCTTTTTGTGACCAGACGTGGTTTCATATTACAGACTTATAGTATTATATACAGTGATAAAGGCTATGTCTATTAGCATTGCATTATAAATATACTTTCCTTATAAAAATATATCCAAGATTGCTTGAAGAACACAGATAAACCATATATTTTGTGCAATCGTATGTTTATTGTCTTCAAGTTTCATCAGTTAAAATTTCTCTAGCTACAGCTAGAACTGGATACCTTTGTCCATATTAGGGATTTCCTGGAGCGTCATCAGGGCTATTACTTCTGCGATGCATGTGGAGTTTCTGCGCAAGGGCGCCATCCGGCTTCCAGTATGAATTAAACAGACATTACATTACGTGTGTACTCAGTAATGCTCACAACACCCTGTTTTGGGTAAAAATAGGAAAGATAATAGTTTTCTCTAAAGAAACAGGATTCCCTGAATTATCGTCATTGATATGGTTATCACAATAAATACCAGAAATTATCGTGATATATTTTTAAGCCCATATCGCCCATCCCTACTCTAAATTTAGATTCTGCATGAGCGATGTTCAGAGTTGTTGTTTAAAATGCAAATGCATTCTATATTAATGCAGCAAGTTGCAACGTTGCTTGACAAGTGTAAACTGTAATAAACTATAATCCTTGGTCAGTAAATTTTAAATATTATTTATAAATGTAACTATTTATGAATATTGAAGTCTTATTGCTATTGCCACTGTTTATAAAATTAATTAGCTTTTTTAGAGATAATATTTGGTAAATATTGCATTAGAAAATTACATATTATAAATATCTTTTGTTAATGGCCTTTTGGAAAAAGACTTTTCATGGGAATAATTTAGATTTTCTATCAAATATCAAATGAAAAATGCATATCTAATTGCCATAGGTTTATATTTTGATATTTAGACATTTAGCAGACGCTTTTATAAAGAAAATACTATTATAAGTAATAGTATATAATACTATTATAATACGATATAATACTATTATATCGCAGATATAAGAAAATACTACTAAATTATTGGATATTGTTTTCTCAATTTTCATTATGATGTAAAAAAAAAAAATTCTACTACTGAATTTGCCATGAAAATAGCTTTTTCTGGAGATATGGTGTTAAATAAAAAATTTTTTTTTTTAAATTAGCATTACATTGACCACTGATTATCTAGTAATCAGCATCAGTTACTGGTGAACCAGGCAAACTTGTTAATTCATCACACTGAAAATGGAAGGTCAAGCCGAGCACATTGCATCGTGGGATACAGTATTGTGCGTCAAGTGCTCTAGTTGTATAATGCACATTTAGGCAAGTGTAGAAGATCATAGAAGTGTTACGTGCATACAGACAATTAGCACAGTATACATACTGCATGCTGCAGTGATAGTATGAGTATTGTGGTAGTATGTTATTAAAAACATTATAAACAAGACATTTAAAAATGCAGATTCAACATTCAGTTTTTAGATGTAGAAGCATTGCATTTACACAAATGTGTTTATGAATTGTTTTGCATCTGTGAATGAGGTCATTAGTTTGTGAGTCATATTTAGTGAATGTCTTCATTTTGAGACAATTCTGATCGTGTAACGAATATGTTAGTGATATTCATTACTGTCTGACGGTGTGATTTATTTTTAGTTCCAGCACTCGTGTGTGTGTGTGTGTGTGTGTCATCTGAAGGCCGCTCACTTTTATCAAAACAGTGCTTTCTACAGCAGTTGTCATCCTAGAGTTACCCATAGTTATTTGTCGACAGCGAGTGTGTCATAGTGTCCTGCTATGTATGTATATTAATTTATTATGATATAATTGATATGATATAGTTGTCATAGTTCTTCCTTAGTGTGTTTATAGTATTTACACCAATTTTCACTCCATAATTGCTGGTAACTTTCATAAATAATTATGAATAAGCTGCAAGTAACACATTGAATTAAATGTGAAATTTCGATTTAGAAAGACTGAAATAGTAGGCTATTTCCTTGTCAAATGTACTCCACTAATCTTTGTTTTATTTACAACTCTGTGAAATCATTTTTACGGTGTATCTGAATGTTAACGCAAATTCTTTAATATTAACATGTTTTCAACAAAGTACTGACATGTTTTTAACATTTAAAATTGCTGACATGTTTTCACCAAAGCATTAACATGTTTGAAATACTAGCATTTTTTAACATTTTTAAATACTAACATGTTTTTTTAACATTTTAAACAAAGTACTAACATGTTTTTAACATTTTAAAGTACCAACATGTTTTCAACAAACTACTAACATGTTATTAACATTTAAAAGTACTAACATGTTTGTACATTTTAAATGAAGTACTAACATGTTTTTTTAACATTTGAAATTACTAACATAATTTCAGTGAAATACTGATATTTTTTTAAACATTTTAAAATACTAAGATTTGTATTTTGTTTTTGCTTTTTAAACAAAGTACTAACATGTTTTTTAATGTTTTAAAGTACTAATTTTTTTTTAACTTTTAAATGAAGTACTAGCATGTTTTTTACATTTTAAAGTACTAACTTTTTAACATTGAAAGTACTAACATATTTTCAACGAAGTACTGACATTTTTTTTACCATTTTAAAATACTAACATGTTTTTAACATTTTAAAATACTACGATTTTTATTTTTTTTTTTGCTTTTTAATCAAAATACTAACATGTTTTTTTTAACATTTTAAAGTATTCACATGTTTTTAACATTTAAAAGTACCAACATGTTTTCAAAAAAGTACTCACATGTTTTTAACATTTGAAAGTACTAACATATTCCCCACAATTTTTAACCGATCACAATTATATATTTATAAGTACAAGTGTTTAGGAAAGTACTAGGCTATAGTGGTTTCTGTGTCTATTTAGTGTTTTAAAATTACATAAAAACAGTTATTGTAGGAAAAAAAGTTTGTGGTTGTTTGTTATCAGATATAAATGATCCTAATAGAGACATTTGAGTTGTGATGCTTATATGCAAAAAAAAAAATGGAGTGGAGTGGAATTGTATAGATTGGAATGGGTTTGAATAGACTGGAATATAATAGAATGGAGTTGAATTGAATTGAATAGAATGAAATGGAGTAGATTGGAATTAAATGGAATGCAATTGTATAAGATTGGAATTAAATAGATTGAAATAGAATGGATTTGAATAGACTGGAATGGAATGAAATTGTATAGATTGGAATTGAATATAATGGATTGGAATAGAATACAATTGAGTGGGATTGTATAGAATGGAATGGATTTGATTTTGAATAGATTGAAATGGAGTACAATGAAGTAGAATTGTATAAATTGGAATGGAATTGAATGCAATTATGTAGATTGAAATGGAATGCAGTTGTATAGATTGAAATTGAATAGATTGGGAATGGAATGGATTTGAATAGAATAGAATGGAATGAAGTGGAATTGTATAGATTGGAATTTTTTTTTTAAACCTGGTTAAAGAGTGTTTGTTTGAGACAACATGACGCAGAGCAGCATATTACTTTTATAAAATGCCTGGAACATCAATATGATAAAAGACACCAATGTTCACTTAGTAGTTTAATCATAATCAAGATAACTCTTTCACCAGTTAATTGGTACGACTAGCTGTTTGTAAAAGCAACATACAATCGACCTTCAAACGCAACTCATCCAAACCGAATTTAGAGTTGCATTATAAATATGGAACAAAATACTGTATTGTGTGCTAGAATACAATGTACAATATACAATATAGCCACAGTCAAAAAGAGCATTTTGTGTTTTGTTGTTCAGTGATTGGCCAGTAACACCTGTTGCTGCTGTACAGCCAATCAGACACAAGATATCTATTCCATACATCATATTGCATTAGAATGGTGCTTATCAATAATCACAGTCATTATTGAAGGTGTTTAGTAACATAATAAAGCCTTTAAAGAGTTACACAGAATAAGAATAAGGCTGTTTGCTTTGGATGGAAGGATTTGTGACGGCTACCTGGTACATTTAGGAAATAACAGTGAATTGTCTTTTATTTTTTTATTTACTCTGATTGGCTGTCAAGCCTCACCCCAGTCACGAGCGCCGGTTTCCCCTAGCAACAAAGAGGCGACTAGAACAGGATGAGGTGAGAGGAATTCATTCTCACCAGCCAATTAAATGCGAGGTGGGCGGAGCCTGTGCTGAAACGACGTGTTGCCAGTGTGTCAGCATTGACATGCATGTTTACTGTCAGGGTTTACATGGCAACCGGCTAAGAGCAGGGCAGGATTGCAGGTTTGCTGCTGGTCATATGCGCAGACACGTACTGTGTGCCTGGCCGACTCGAGGAGCTCTGGCTCTCCCCGTACAATACGCAACCTTGCGGAAATGAATGCAGGAGAAGACAGTGATGTCATGGGCCGTGGAGTCTTGCAGGGGCCAAAAATCAAGGCCTTTAAGTGAATTTTAGTGTGTGATAATGGTGTGGGAATTTGATATTGTGCATGATAATAATTAATTTTCTTTTATGTTTTGGAAAAAAGTTACTAAAACAAGCAAAATTGCATTTCTGCTGCAGTGGAATTTTTTGTCATTTCCATCACAACCAAATATATAAACTTTTATTGGGAAAAACTAAGGCTGAACGATTATGGTTAAAACTTATGACCACAATTTTGCTTGATTAAGATTTCATTGAAATGATTGCACCTTCACAAATTTAACCACAAATTAAGAAAGTGTGAGGTTTATTTTATCTCTCTACATTACGAAAACTTGGAAAACTTTAAGCAGTGAAATTCTTAATATTAATTAATATAATTGTATAATAAGTTTATACTTATTTTCACAAACAATACAGTCAATAGTTTTATAGCAAGTATCTCAGATGATGCTTAAATAATCAATAAGTAAAAATCACGATCATGATTAAAATTATTAATCTTGCAGCCCTAGAAAAAACTCCTAAAATACTTGATGTGTCATTAAAATAATAATAATTATTATTATTATTATTTTTAAAACTGCAAATTTCGCATACAAATACCAAAAAAAAAAAAATTGTAACAAATTTTAATGAATGTTGTACATGAATGTTGCACATGCTGGGTTTTTGTTTTTTAGAGTAAAAATAATGTCAAACTTGCCTGAAATTAGTGTGACTATATCTGATTAATGAAGCAACGTTGTAACATGATGCATTACTATAAATCTAATGATTTAAACAAGGTGCCGCTGACTTGCTAAAACAAGCAAAATAATTTTTTGCCCCATCAAAATAAACTTTTATTGGGCAAAAACTTTTGTTCTGAAAAATATGGTGGGACTGTAACTTTTGGGGAAAAATACATTTAGGTTAGTCATAGAATTTCACTGATTTTAACACTTTAATTACATGTAATACTTGCACGTGACTGTTAACATGCTGTGATTTTAAAAATAATAAACTTGTGTGAAATGCCCTTGTCTCATAATCCTTGCATTGTTCATTCACACAGCAAGATGTTGAGAAGTTTACAGATATTGAAAAGCTCTACCTCTACCTTAAGTTGCCTTCTGGTCCCAGTAGTGGCAATGAAAAAAGGTACATATTATTTTTTATCTACCTTATTCCTTTCCATATCCCCCTCCTCTCCTTTTATGATTTCAACACCTCATGAACCATTTGTGATTTTTGTGCTTTGCGATATCAAATACACTCATGTCTGATAATTATGATTGATTCATGTTTACATTCAGTGAAACATGCATATATGAAATGCATTTATGAAACAAAATCAAAGCATATGCAAGTATCATTTTTTTTTTGTAATATTGTCTAATTTTGCATTTGTTGTCAGCTTCAAATTGATTCATGATTCATTCAAGCTAATAGATTTTGTGTAAATTATGACATTGCAATACCAAGCTTGTTTTATCATTTGTTTCCCCTTATCTGTCCATCATGTCAACCCCTCTTTCCCAACATGATGTCCAATAGAACTGAAAATCAGAGGGGCTCTGGAAGTCCTGCGATATGGTACTACAACTTTAACTATATTAAAGGGAAAAGAATTTTGAAGTAATATGTAACATGATATATTATACAGGAACAACAGACGTACACACAGCTTTCTGGTGCTACACCATCACTGTTTCAAGCCTTTCTTTTCCTCTGTTTTCCCAATAGTGACCAGAACTCCATGACGTCGAGCCGAACTCAACAGATGTACGCATTCAACTGGATCCGAAATCACTTGGAAGAGCACCCGGAAACCTCACTGCCAAAACAAGAGGTGTACGATGAATACAAGTGAGTGGTTTAATGCTGCAGTAATGGACGGAGTTTGTGTTTGCTTGTACTCATCAGTTTCTCATGCTGTGTTTCAGGAGTTATTGCGACAATCTGGGCTACCATCCTTTAAGCGCAGCTGATTTCGGAAAGATCATGAAAAACGTTTTTCCGAACATGAAGGCACGCCGTTTGGGCATGAGGGGGAAATCAAAATATCCTTTTGTGTGGAAAAAATCTTGATATGTTTTGTATACTGTAGATTGCAAAATGCAATACACCTAATGCATGACAACATTTGCTTTTGAAACATTTTGTATGCATTGAGAATTGTTGTGCACCTTTACAATGCATTACGTACTGCTACAGCGGGCTGAGAAAAAAAGCATTTGTGCACATGCCGTCACTCCCTAACCTGGACTTGCACAAATCAGGAGATGGGGTCAGTATCCTGTTCCTGTCAAATCCAAAACAAGAGATTCATATCAGTTTATTTTAAATGCCCTAATTACAACAACATTATGTGCAGGTTTGATAACCAAGTCCCCTCTTATCCCTCCTCTTCTTTAGTGTGAGTTGTTGGAGTCGACTGGACAGTCTCCCAGTGCTGAGGATGAGATGCGTTCGGCAGCTTGCGGTCTGGTCTGCGAATGGGCTCAGAAGGTTTTGAGTCGCCAGTTTGACAGTGTGGAGGAACTGGCACGCTTTCTTCTCAACAGTCATTATATAGGCACTAAGTCCATGGCAGCTCTGACTGTTATGACTGGAACCCCAACAGGCAAGAAACAAAAAATACCTTGCATACAAATCTAGATGATGCATGAAAATGTTGGTTGTAGCAGCTACTGGTTTACTTGTGTGGCATTCAGACTATGTTCATTTCTTGTTTCTAACTTGAATCTCTTTGATAAAAACCAGGTATGAAAACCCCTACGCCTGCCTCTGCCTTTGTGCCAACTGGTGAAGCCAACTCATTCCAGCCCCAAGTGAAGACCCTCCCTTCGCCTTGTGTAGACGCCAAACAGCAGCTGCAGCGGAAGATCCAGAAGAAACAGCAGGAGCAGAAGCTCACCTCTCCTTTGCCCACTGATGCCCAGGCCAGAAGGGCAGAGGCGGGCACACCTGGCCCTGGATCCAGCCTGACCTCTGGAAGTCCTGCACTACTATCCCCTCAACAAACCATAGGCATTGTGGTTACTGCTGTTCCAAGTCCTATTACAGTAAGGAGATTTTGGTTGATAGCAGGGTATGGATGATTTAACATTGCTCAATGGACAAGTTATTTAGATTGTGCTTTTGTTTGCAGGTTCAGAGAAACAGGCAACTAATGACCTCTCCAAGTCCTGTTGGGGCAGCAGAGGGAAAAGTTGTACCTGTTAACTTCCAGGTTGTGACACAACCTATTAAGCAGTCTCCAAAAACACCCCAAAATATCCCTGCCAGCCCAGTCGGTGACAGGTTGGCTAGACACCGATATGCTCAGATTTTACCTAAACCATCGGCCACAAGCGCCATTGCCCTTCGCTCAACCCCAACGCTCCTCATCACCAACAGTCCCATCAAGACGGTGATGCCCACATCCCACGTTAGCTCTGTAAATGTGGTCAAGATGACTGCAATTTCATTAGCTCCTAACAGTAGCAGTAGTAGTAGTACTCCTACCCCGTTGCGACCTGCTTCAGTGGGTGTCAGTAGCACAGCTTCCCTGGAAGAATCTAGCCAAACCCATCAAGGTCAGAATGGGGCATCTGTCATGTCTCTTCAGTCATCTGGGAAAGCTGGACGTCCCTTCACGACCCTAACCCCATCAGCGTCCACTTTTACTAATGAAATAAAAGTGACATTTGAAGCTGTGAATGACAGTAACTCAGCTACTGCTGTTGATAAACAAAACACTGTATCAGGGGCAAGTACAGGACTAAAGAATGAAAGAGCCACTAAATTCAGGGCTTCCAGTGAACCCTCTCTTTTTATTAAGGCGTCTCCTATGCCTGAGAGAGTGGCAAGGGCCAAGAGTGACTCTACAACCCCTTCAAGTACAATCATGGGGGCTCTTGCCCCGAGCAGCAATAACAACAACGATCAACCAGAAAGTACTTTGTATTTAACTGTTACTAGCCAGAATTTAGACGCCGAATTGTCATCCATTTGTGCGGTGGCAACTGCAAGCACTTCTTCTAAAGATGCTGGCCTCGGTCCAAAAAGCCTTCGAAAACGCTCTGCATCTGTTTTGGAAACCCATACAATCCCAGTTAAAAGAGTATTCATTTCCCAGCAACCTTTGGATGTTAGCAGCAATACCAAGCCTGGTATTGTAATAGCAGCTAAGACGATTCAGAGACCTGGCACCCCAGCAAGACCAGAGAGCGCTCCATGCAAAGTTACACTAAAACAGAGTAGCTCTCTTCCGACTCAAATCTTGGCTCTTTCTGACACCCGCATTGGAGCCCTGGGCACCTCTCAGACTGTTAATCCTCAGAGCTCTTCACAAATCGAGAATGAAGTTGCTGATATTAGCCCGAATGAAACTGCTTCTGGTAATAGCACAGCTTTACTGCAACAAATTCCAAGACACCAACAAATCAGCAGTGACGTTTTTCAGGAGGTATCTGCTGTAAGGGAGCTCAAGAGTTCGCTGCAAGACTACTCGCAACAGATGCAAACAGAACACAAGCAGATTGCAACTAATCCGTTACCATTGATGGCCCAGGCAACTGAGACCACCAGTCAGCTCACTCTTCAGCAGGACATTGTTGATTTTGCAGGAGCCCAAGCAAGCATGGACTATTTCCCCTTCAATGATGATGATATGACCCAGGACAGTATTGTAGAAGAGCTTGTACAGATGGAGGAACAGATGAAGCTGAATAGCTGCTTGCAATCCTACCTGAGTTGTGTTGATATATCCCTACAAGGTCAAGCCACAGTTGGCCAAGGAACAATCCTGTCACCCCATCAGACAAGTACACAGTTCTATCATTCTTCCCATAGTAGCGCCACTCCAATCCACACGCCAACTCCGACGCCCACACCGACACCAACACCTACTCCAACTCCTACCTCCGAGATGCTACCAGGGGGGCTTAGCTTGACCAGAGAAAGCCCTTGTTCTCGAATGGCACCTGTTACCCCAGTGGATAGCATCTTAGGTGGGCGCCATACACCCATCAGCACTCCACTGTCAAACTGCAGCAGCAGTGTTCCTCCAAGTCCCATTGAATGCCGCAATCCCTTTGCGTTCACTCCTATAAACTCCAGTATAACTGGATATCACGATGGTAGCGTTGTGTCCAGCAGTCCAGTGAAACCCATGCAAAGGCCAATGGCCACCCACCCAGATAAAGCCAAGCTGGAGTGGATCAACAACAGGTACAACAGCACCGCAGGATCTCCCGTTATCTCCACCAACTCCACCATTGGTTTCCTGCCCAGTTACCAGGATCTGGTCGAGGACCACTTCCGTAAACCACACGCTTTTGCCATCCCAGGTCAATCTTTCCAGTCTCAGTCAAGGCATCAGGATGTAAACTTGGGAAGTTTGACAACCGTTTCCCCAGTGCAACAAGGACAGCAAACCACCCTTAGTAGCAAGCAAGAAAGTTTTGCCGTCCCAGCTCCGTTGGACAACAAAGGGGCAGGAAACGCATCTGGAGGAGGAACCTTCAGGTGTCGCAGCGTTAGCCCGGCAGTTCGCCAGCGTAACCTTAGTGGCACCACTGCACAAACAGTCATCACCCCACGGTCTGTTGTTTCTCCCTTTAATTGCCCCCTGACATCTGAGGTCCTGAACATTTTGTCCAACAACCAGTCTGTTGTCAGTGCCAGCAGCTTGGCCCAGAGGAGCCAGTCAGTTCCACTAAACATCATGATGCAGTCTGAGCTGCTGCCCATCAGTCACCAGGTGCAGCAAAGCAATAGTGCTAAGATCACCACTGTGCTCCTTAGCAAGATGGACACAGATGGAGATGATGCAGTGCGAGGGCTAGGTGTAAATAACCTGCCCGCCAATTACACAGCACGGATGAACTTAACCCAAATCCTGGAGACAACACAGGGCTTCTCCAGAGGCCCCAACTCTCAGAACCAGCAGCTGCCTCTGGACTCAAGCCCTTCGCCCTTTGACTTCCAGAAGACGGGTTACCTCATAAGCACGGGGGAGGAGCAAGTCACCTTCTCCTGTGGTGACAGTCAAGCACAATCAGGCTCTGGACTGCAACAGCCGGAAGAGCAGCTTCAGCTCCAAGAACCACAGTTGGAGCTGCAAAACCACCAACTACAGCTCCAGAATCAACAACTGCAACTTCCAGCTCAGCAATTACAACTCCAAGACCAACAGCTCCAACTTCAAGACCCACAGTTGCAACTCCAGGACCAACAGTTGCAGTTGCCGGACCAACAACCATTACAGGATGACCCAGATCTCAGCCAGCAGCACTTGTTGCCCCAAACCTCGCAGCAAGTTGTGAATCAGGAGCAGCAAGAGCAGCTGGACTTCAACACTACCGTCAAGGATCTCTTAGGGGAGGACAGCCTCAATCCCAGTTCGCAACTCGTCGGACAAGTGGCGTCAGAACTCAGTGCTGTCGCCTCTGAGTTTTCCAGCGATATGCGGTTGACTTCTGACCTTTCGAGTAGCATTACCGACCTGAACACTTTGGACCCCAACTTGCTGTTTGACCCCAGTCAGCAGCAGGACCAATATGAAGACGCCACACTGGAAGAACTGAAGAACGATCCTCTGTTTCAGCAGATTTGCAGCGATACTGTGAATTCTGCTGGTTTCGATTGGCTGGAGAATAAAGACCAGCCAACCGTGGAAATGTTGGGATAATATTATTTCCTGTTCCTTTATTGTTGATGTTGCTGTTGTCGTCGTTGTTTATATTTGTGGTTTCTGTTCCGCGTTTTGTTTTTTGTATTGCACCGTTTTGTGTATCCTTTACGTACAAAAGTATTGAATGACGTGTCTGTGCAGCAAAAATCTGGACGCATTGGACTGTCCAGTTTAAAGTGCCAACCTGAGGTAAATCTCTTACAGGCATGTGCTATATCTGAATTTTTTACAGTTGTTTTGTTTGTATTCTTGTTGTATGATTTCATGGATCATTCCAGTCATTTCTCCCCATTCAGAAGTCATTTATAGTGGACGGTCAGATATTTCCTCTGGTTCCAGCTGGTAGTAAAGTACGTTCAGTATAATGAGACATCACCTGGTGCACAAGCATATCCCTCTTTTATATATTTCCTTCCTCTAAAACCATAGTGGATATTGAGAACCTGCATGCAAAATTTGCTCTTGTATTTCAACGAAATGCAATATTCCAAGTGACGAATCGTTGACTTTGGGGAAACACCCTTTCTAGACAGTTGTCTAAGCATCCAATAATGTGGCTTTGTGAGTTTGATAGGAGACCAAAAGATTGCAAAAGAGTGCCCCCAAATACCGTAAGTACAGCAGAGGTGAAATAACACATCTACATATCGTAAATCAGTCAGTTCAATGAACTGCAAAGATCTTAGGTGCTACTTGGTGCTGACTTAAAGAATCGCATTTACTGTACTTTTCATCAGCCGTCATTTGTTTTGTCAAAGTTATTTTACACATTTTGGGGGAAAAGGGTATTTAAGGCCATAATACTTACGCTGTTAAATCCAAACTGTTGGGTAAGGATGAGACTTTTGGTTTGTTTTATTCCAGAAAAATGGGAAGATAAGACTCGTCTGCCTTATTTCCAGAGTCTAAGGCCTTATTCCATCTCATTAAAGGCTTCTGAATTCAAGAATTTCTTAAAAGAACGAACTTGGTGCACTTGTCGTGAATTAGCAGTTCTCCATGTTCAGATGGTTGCTAGCCATTTCGTAGGCTTTTTAGCACATCATTTCAAACTGGTAGTGATGATGGTATGGTGATGGCTAGATATTCTTACCAACTCGAGATCAACAGGCAAACCTGTGTAGTTTCTCCAGCCTTAACTCCATACCAAAGAGCAGCTGAGGAAGAACAAGAGATTGCGATCCGTTGAGGTTTCCATCTTCAATCGCCTGTCATCTAAAAGGGATCTTGACCGTTTTAGTTCGCTTTTACAGTAAGTGAATTCACATTTGTGTAAATTATGTATATGGCGGATGTATAAATGGGGAGCATGTTGTACAAGTTCACAAAGGCTACATTTCTAGGCTAGTAGTGCGACATTTGTAAAAAAGGACATAGTTGTCATCATGAGATTTCCATTTTATCAAGATGCTAATGGTGATGATTTGTAGGTAGATTCGAGTGCCCTTAAGAAGAAAAAGCTGATCATAACGAGTCCATAGCCAGCACGATATTTCGCTTGTTACGTTTCTGGCTTCCTGTGATGTGCTAGTAAATATTGGGTCTGTAGCTTGCTAATGTACCATTTTTCTTAGGAGTTTATTGGTTCCTGCGTACGCAGATGTGATGTGTAAATGAAGAGAGGATATAATAGCATGGATTTATCAAGAAAAAAAGAAATTAGATAAGACTTAAATATAAAGTTAATTTAATCGTGACATAGCTAAATGTTGTGTGCAGAGACGAATCAAAGGAGCAGACACTGGAAATGGTTTGAAAACGTTTATCTTATTGCACTAAAAGTTGCGTTTTTTTTCCCCGTCGACAAACAACAATTGGTGCCCGCGTTGTTTTTCTTCTAAAGACAATAAATAGAGGAATTACTCACTCATGCTCGAAAACGACAATGAATAATTGCCTTGTGTAGCAATGAGCTCTAATCTCAGTGAGATCCGCGTTGTACGACTTCTCGTACCTGAGAAGAAAATACGAGATTTAAAAACGACGAGTTAAAAAAAATAAAAAGCCAACATGCTTTACCATGTTATAAAATGACTATGTGCGCATGTATGTTAAACTATCTATGGTAGTATTTGTTGTGACCACTCCTTTAGCCAATCAAAACAGGACGAGGGGACAAACGTAGTTCTTCAGAAGCTATATGCATTTTACGATGTTTACTAAGTTAAAATAAGTCTGTTTCTGTTCATGAATGTTGTTCTTGTTTTTTGTTTTGAATATATCTTCAATTTTCTTCTTTTTATATATATATATATATATAGATATAAAAAATGCCTATGTGAAGAAAGCTGTAAATATTTTTTATGTTCTGGCGTTTATTAAGGCACTGATTAATTACCGTTTTTTATTTTAACCAGTAAGACTCCAGTCCTCTTTTGATACACAGGGTTTGACGCCGCAGATGTCGTTCGTCAGGTCGTTCTGGTAGAAAAAAATGTTCATTCTGTCTGTCCATTCGGATCTGTAGATTTGAGCCTCTGATGTGCTGGTTTATCTGCTCTATGTGGACAGTAGCTTGTTAATATTGCAGAAGCGTTTCAGCGATGTTTTGTTCTTTTATTTTATTTTTTTTTTTCCAATGGAAAGTACTCACAGGTGAGATTTTTTTAAGTGGTTTTAAAAGCCAATAAACTTTTTTTTTAAACAACACTTGTGTTGTCTGGAGTGTGTTTGAGCGTAACAGCGCCCTCTGTTGATTCATATTGACACTGCGGCACACAAAAAACAGCCATAAGGTCATGAGGTCATATCATGCATGACTGCAATGACACCAACCCTTAACAAATCAACAATATAAATCTATAAAATTTCACTATAAAACCAATGAAATTTAAAATATAAATACACGCACATGCATTTTTAAATTCTAAAACAAAGTTAGCTTTTATATTATATGACTTTGATTTAGTTGTTTCTTTTTTGTTCGATTTAAGTTTTTTTGTTGTGTATACATGTTTAAAATTCATATTTATTCATGTTGTGTTTTTTTATGTCAAATGTATCGAGAAGGCACTTTTAAAGGCGCCATTTAAAATAAAGTTTATTATTACTATTATTATTTGTTTAAATTCAATATTGTTGACTTAACCAATGCCTTCATATATATTTAATATGCTACTCAAAAACCTGCGTACACTGCATAAAATATGTAATTTTATTGTATGTATGATATGATTCAGCAAAGCACGTGACGATTAGTTGATGATATATTAATAGTAATAACTTGATATTACCTGCATCCAGAACTTTAAACTAAGTTTTATTTATTTATTGAAACGTAGGCCTCAAATATTAAAATGGAAAATAATAAAATGATAAAGTATTTATATGGAATTTGGAAATATTAGTTTTAAACCATTTCAAAGGCATTTATAAATTATATTTTTAATTATATAATATTTTTACTGTTTTTAAGGGTTTGATCTTTCTCAGTATTTAAGACAAGTTATGCTGTAATATAATATTGATAATATAAAACATAATTTTCTCCTTATACAATAAACAAGCTCAAAACTTAAAAAACGAACAAAAAGCTATCTGCTAAGGAAGCATTACTCATTTTTAATTTAATTAATTATTAATGTAGTTTTAGAAGTAAAAATGGATTAAAAACTATTTAGACATTTTAAAAAGTGAGTGACAGACAAACACAAAATTACTAAACTTTAAACAAAAATAAAAATGAAAACAAAATATAAAAAATAATAACTACTTCAAACTATTAATAAAACTAAATTAGTATCTCAGTGACACTAAAATAACATTTGAATACTTTGTTGTTCTGATCACTAACAACACAGATTCCTGACGTATCAAACAGCACTGATAATAAATGCTCTTCTGCATATTCGATCGGAGGGGATAGAGGTCATTCTGCCCAAGCCAGAGGTCAAAGGTCAGAGGTTGTGGAGATGGGGGTTCACCGTGGCTCTGACCAATGAGAGCAGGGCGGTCGGTGTCGTGCCTCTTTCCCATGACCCCACACACATTCACACAATGCTAATGACTTCAGCCCTATTGATCCACAGCCTGCTGTCGAGCGACTGACCGGCTCTGAAAACTGCTTAGCAGGAGCTGCTTTATAGTACAAATATGATATTCCAGCATCACATGCATGTCTTGTGTTATTGTGCTGAGAAGGATCGAGCCCTCGACATGTGAGAGGAGACGTGATCAATCACTGGTCATCACTGATCAATAACTGATTAAATCCAGCACACAAACACACACGTGCATCATCTGCTGAGCTTTATGTTCTCTTCATGTCAGAGATTTAAAAGGACATTTCGTGAAATGTATTGAAATCACTATTAAAACATGGATATTTGCTGCTTTAGTCATGTTTAAGTGAAGCAGCACTATTATTACTGGTGATCCTAAACCAGAGTTATTACAGTTAACAAACTAAAACCATAAACCGTTGTTGTTGTTGTTGTTTTCAAAATAAATATTAACTGATATAAAATCAAATATTTAAAAGAAAATTAAAATTGCCAAGGCAACATTTCTCATTTTCATAACTAAAACTGACATAAAAATGAAGAAAAACTGTATATAAATATTAAAAAAAGATTAAAATGACAAAAATAAAATTACTAAAAAATGGAAAATATAAAAATCAAAAAGTACTCAAAATATTAAAATTTTTAACATAAATGTTAACTGGAAAAACTTGGTTGCCAAAGGAACATTCACATTTTCATTTAATCAATAAATTAATGTACTAAAATAACTCAAACTAAAAATGAAGTAAAAAATATAATAATAATAAATAACAAAAATACTCAAGTGTAAACTACAATTATAATGAATTTGGAAAATATATTAATAACAAGTAATTCAAAATATTAATACAAACATTTTTTGTCATTTAAAAAAAAAAAAAAATGTCAAAATTAAAAATTATTTCAGCTAGTTACCAAGGCAGCATTTAACATTTTCATTCAGTTTAACCAAAAAAAAAACTAAAATATCAACTAAAATTATATTGAAAATGAAAAAATAACTTTTTTCAAATTAAAAAGTTAATAAACACGATACTAGTTCAGTAATAGTGAGAATATACATGGCCATCTTCTCCTGTGATATAATAATAATAATGTATGCACATAGAAAGCGAAGCGGGTGAAGGGTGTACAGCTGCTCGCACGATCAATACGTCTGAATATGCCTGCATGCATTTTAAACAACACATATTTTATTAACTTTCAGAAAGTACATGTATGGCAAAATAATAAAAGAGGATCCTTTGTTTAGCTTGTATTTTGTACTATATATGTATATACACACACACACATACACACATGCATATATTCATTTGTTAGTTTGCTAACCGTACATCAGTTATGTTGTATAAAATAAATGTATAGGAAAATAAATAAAGCAATAAATGACTTGCTACGACAAATACTATTTTTTTGTCTTGAATTTATTTTTGTATTTTCCTCATTCATTCATTTATTTTCTTTCTTTATTTGTAACTTTGTAACTATTTATTTACTCATGCATTTCTTTTAAATGATCCCACATGTTATTTCTATATTCAGCTACTGCTGTTTGGGTGTTGTTGATATTATGATGATATTACAGGTGGACATGATGATAACAGTGTTACACAATCCTGGACGCGTAATGAGACGTGAATATGTAATGAGGGCGGGCTTGAGGGACGTGTGACGCGAGCAGCGTGAGCAGCGTGAGCTTCAGCTTCAGTCAGTGCTCGGATCTCCGGAGAGTCATGACGCGCTCCGGACGCACGCGGATTTTACGCACGGAATGACCGTGAATCGTCGATAAATGGGGTCCGTGAAATGGAAAACACATCAGCGGGTGCTGATTATACTCTGGGTTTTGTCGTTTTCAGGTAAGACGTGTTATATCTACGTATATTTGGACAGGAATCTCGTGCGTAAAGGCTGGAGGTGTCCAGGTTGATCAACTTCCTCCAGATTGGATTATTAGAGTGTTTTAAATTATTGTTAGATTATTTAGATGGGAATTGAACTGTTGAGTGAATATATGATCAGAATCTGAGCATTTACGATGGTGTTTGAGTTTGGATACAAGTAACTATTACCGTTTTTAACGATATATATATAGAGAGAGAGAGAGAGAGCGGTGTAGAAAGTTTATTAATAAGCTTTGTGCTGCGATATTTATCAGGTCAAATATGCAATATTTAATATTTTTTTGTGTGTGTTATTTTATATCTGAATGAGTGAATACCACTTTTTAAGTGGTTTAGCGAGTATTTTTTATTTTATTACACCCTGAATGATTTAAATATTATTAGTATTTTTTTATTTTATTTTTGTGAGGGTACCTGAATAATAATAATAATAATAATAATAACACTTTTTAAGTGGTTTAGCCAATATTTTTTATTTTATTACACCTGAATGATTTAAATATTATTAGTATTTTTATTTTATTTTTATTTTTGAGAGGGCACCTGAATAATAATAATAATAATAATAACACTTTTTAAGTGGTTTAGCCAGTATTTTTATTTTATTACACCCATTACGATTTAAATATTATTAGTATTTTTTTATTTTATTTTTGTGAGGGTACCTGAATAATAATAATAATAATAATAATAATAATAACACTTTTTAAGTGGTTTAGCCAGATTCAGAAATTATATTTAGTTTCAAGAACATAAGGCCTAGTTTTGCGTTGTGACATTATTTGAATAAAAAATAATATGTTGTACACCAAATTCTAAGTGTATTAATGCATTTTATAAAACGGAGTGTTCCAGTCCTTGATTCTGATTGGCTGAGACGCATTCGAAGCTGTTGTAAATTATAGAGCCCGACCGATATGGTTTTTTTGGGGCCGATACCGATATTAGGGAGTAAAAAAAGGCAGATATCGATTTATACTTAATGATCAAATAATGTCACAATCTTAACATAAGCTTAATTTTCTCATGCAATTTCTTATTAGTCATTTTATTAACAGGTTTAGTAATATTCACCCATATAG